GCTATACTTTGGGGGATGGTACGTACTTTTCGTGTATATGATCTCTGCTCATGTTATTTTCTTTGTGGGTGTTGTATTATCCTTACAAATAATTAGTCAAATCATAAATCACAAAACTAAAAAATTTCGTTTACTATCTACTTACGTTGAATCTTTTATTTCTTTGTGCATTGCTTGAATATTGCTCTCTCTTATCTATTACATTTGCATGCACTCTAATAAAGCTATTCGTCTTCCAGACGACTCTGTACACCTAGAAGAAGCTCTAGATGTGAACCCCCACCACCTGACTCTGAACCCCCACCCGACTGTGAACCCCCACCACCCGACTCTGTACCCCCACCACCCGACTGCATCTGGTGGAAGTGGCATAACTGTAGGTGCAGTAGTTGGAATTCTGGCTGGAGGAGACTTCATTATATTACTGATTTTTGGTATTCATTGGAGGAGAGACCTCCTAGGAACACCCTATACTTTGGAGGAGAGGCCTCCTAGGAATACTTTGGAGGATGGTACGTACTTTTCGTGAATATTTAGGCACACTCTGTAAGTTGATATTTATTTATATGTTGAACTTTCTAACGCCTTGATGCTGCTAGAATATATTATACTGTCGAAACCTTTTATGCAAAGTACTGCCTACCTATAGATACAGTTACTTGCTACATGATATTAAGAAATAAAAATGCTACCATTATGAAATTCGTGTAGACAATTTCTTATATGAGTTTGCTTCTTACACAGATTTAAAGGGCGTGGACCTGCAAACTGGTAAATTTAGCTTCAGGCGACTCAAAGATGCCACAAACAACTTTGACAAAGCCAATAAGATTGGAGAAGGAGGTTTTGGTTCTGTTTACAAGGTATTCTGCGGAACCAATATTTCTATTTATTTATTGCTGTTGGGCTAACTTGACTAATTGTAAGCATTCTTATTAAAGTTGCTCTGCTTTTAAGTGAAGGGATTTTGACTTTTTTTCTCAAATGCAGGGCCTTCTATCAGATGGCACCGTAATTGCTGTCAAGCAGCTTTCTTCCAAATCAAAGCAAGGGAATCGTGAATTTGTGAATGAGATAGGCATGATTTCTGCTCTGCAACACCCTCATCTTGTCAAGCTTCACGGATGCTGTATTGAAGGAAATCAACTATTGCTTGTCTATGAGTACATGGAAAATAATAGCCTTGCTCGTGCTTTGTTTGGTAAATATTACTCTTGTATGCCTAAAGTTCATTTGGTTCATGCAGATGGGTATAAAAGATCTTATACATAAAAAATATGTCCCTTATAACTAACTTTGAGTAATTTGACAAATTGAAGGGCCAGAAGATCTGTCTTGGTATAGCTAGAGGTTTGGCTTACCTCCACGAGGAATCAAGATTGAAGGTCGTTCATAGAGACATCAAGGCTACTAATGTGCTTCTTGATAAAAATCTTACCCCAAATATATCTGACTTTGGATTGGCCAAGCTTGATGAAGAGGATTATACACACATTAGCACCCGTATTGCTGGAACTTAGTGAGTCCCTGTGCTACTTTTTTTCTTCTTATACTTTTATTTTGATTTCTTCCACCCGAATGATGGGTCCATAGAAATAGGAAACATATGGAGGTTTCTCTACTTTTTATAAGTTTCAAACTTAACTAGATCTGTACTGTTAAAGAAACCTTGTAGTATTTTCAGTATTTCGCTATGCTAAATATGGGGAAATGATGAGCGATTTTTTGCAGTGGATATATGGCGCCTGAATATGCAATGCGGGGTTATCTTACTGATAAAGCAGATGTTTATAGCTTTGGAATTCTTGTATTGGAAATTGCTAGTGGGAGGAACAACACCACTTACAGAGGAAAGGAAAAAAGCTTTTATCTTCTTGATTGGGTAACATGATTCTACTGCTTCCTTATTTAAAGTTAAATTTAATCTGATACTGTTGATCTCTATTCTATGTTTGTGGCTGAGAGAAAGTGACTGATACTGCAATAGATTTAATGATGATCCAAAATCAAATCTGGCTTCATTTGACATTATTTTTCTCTGACAGTATATGTTTCTAGGCACAACTACTAAAAGGGCAAGGGAATTTGTTGGACCTAGTGGATCCAAGGTTGGGGTCAGACTTCAACAAAGAAGAGATGATGCTTACAATCAATGTGGCTCTCCTCTGCTGCAATGTCACTTCAACAGTTAGGCCTACCATGTCTTCAGTTGTGAGCATGCTTGAAGGCAGGGCTGCTGTTCAGGAATTGGTCTCAGATCCAAATGCCTCA